TAGAGGCTGGATTAACCCATTTATAAACATAGCAGTTTCTCTGAAACTGCTATGTTTATTAAAAAAAGGGTTAATCCTAGCTGGACCTGGCACCCAGACCACTTCATTAAGCTGAAGTGGTCTGGGTGCCTAGAGTGGTCCTTTAATGCTATTTAGTAATTAACCCTTAAGGACACAACTTCTGGAATAAAAGGGAATCATGACAGAATATTTCCATCATGTGTCCTTAAGGGGTTAAGTAAACCATTTGCAGTGGAAGAACATCATGTCTCTTCCTGGAGGAGTGGATTTTAAAATTCAAAGACATAAAAACAATGGAGTATTCTATTCCCAGAGGAATTTCACATGCCAAGCATTTTGTTAGATTCTTACTTTACCAGGGTTATTCACAAAGGCGACAATTACAGAGAATTCAAAGTAAATTAAACTTTTAAGGGGAGGTAACCAAACTGGAAGCATAACTGACTTGGTTATTTTTACAATAGGGCTATTTTGGCCTTACATTTTATATTTGCTTTAAATTCACCCTGAATTCACAACAATTCTCAATTCTTCCGTAAATAACCCTGTGTGTGTTTAGAACAAAAGTGCCGAAATGTAGATTACCATATATTTAAAAACTACAGCTTCCATGATGCTTTGTCTTTCTAAAGGCATGCAAAGGCATGCAAGGCATCATGGGTGTTGTAGCTCTACATCTGGGGATCTGCCTTTTGGGCACCCGTGCTTTAGATCAGGATTATCAATTAAAGTGAGAAGTGAATTCAAAGGGAAATCCAGAATTAAAGGTCTAAACAGCCGAACAGAAAACAGAATTGACTTGCAGACTATTTAAAATTCATACATATTGGTCTAAATTTTGAAATTCACTTTGAATTCACATGAATTACCCCACAATTCTTAATTAAGTAAATAACCCTGACTGTTTTTTTAGAAAGTATTGTGCTGCACAGGTTTATTACATTTTACCAACATCATTGCTCTTAATATCTCTCACACTATAACTTGTACTGTTTGTTTCTAACCTTAGTGAATAACCCTGTTTGTATTAATTCATACACACACCGCTAACCCTATTTGGCAAACGCAACATTTACCAAAATGCAACTGCATATGTCACCTCAATGCAACTGCATATTTCACAGTTTCAAGTTCTACATATGACATGATTTGACTAAATTAATAAGTTCCCCTACCTCACTTTGATTTTTTTTATTGATATTTAATTCAAAGATTTTTTTAATTGAGACCAGAGCCTGATAATAATGACTCTCTATCCGAACTGGAACAGTTAGTAGCTTAATTATCAAAGATCACAAAGAAAAATTTAGCATTTCAGCAATAAAACAATGTTACTGTCAGTGTGAACTTCTTCAAGCTGTTTTGAGAAAGATTACATGTGACTTATATGTTAAATTCGGCATAACAAGTCATATTGATTCACAGATTCAGATCACATGACTTTTCTGAATTTTTCTTTCACTATTTTATGATTGTTATATGTTGTTATGATTTTTATCTTCATAATAATTGTCTGTTTCCCTGCTAGTATACTGTGTTCACTTGTTTCAGTTTCATACATATAAGAGATTTAGTAACGAGATCCAATTGTATTCTACTTTGGAATCTACTAAAGACCTACTCAGACCTTAGCTATTATCTCCTGTATTCCGATATGCTTCTGAAATGGTCTCTGAACTTGGTTACACAACGTACACAGAATATCATTTGCATCAAGCTTTAACTTTCAGCCCCCATGCCTCAGAGGTTTTATGCATCTGACAATGCTAAACCAAATTGTTGTTGGCAGCAAAATCCATGACACGGCCTCCAGAGACTCATTAAATACACATAACACTGATGTGTTGAAAAATTATGTCCATTGGAATAGCTATTACCTTTTAATATTTTTATCTGTTATGAAATAACTTAGATCAGTATTATAAACCCATAAATTAACATGCATACATTTCTGATATGTCTTTGGTTTTTAGGTCACGCTTTATTTTCCCATATGGTGTGCACCCAGGAGGGGGAATATACACGTGTTCATGTGCTTCATGATCATATCCAACTCTTTAAATATTTATACTCTTCAAAAGCTTTGCTAACCATATGCTGCTTCATATGTTGATAAAATCTTTCTTCTGTATTGATATTAGCTATTCTACTTATTTAATAACATGTTGGTTATTTATTAAAGAGTGAATAATACTTGCTGATAAGAAAAATGGGGTATTAAACTATAGCAAATACAACTCAAGGGTATACACATAAAATCAGACATATATAAAAGAGACAGTCACCAAGAATGGACAAGAGTTCAATAACATTTCCTCTAGTAAGTCCCTATTTGTGAGCATTTAAAACACAATTGCAGTTTAGTTAAATGTTATTGTATCCAGTATCGGTAACTTTAAACATCTAAATTGTTATGTACATCATAAAGTCCCGTTTGTCTGTCTATTTGCTGCCTGTTAGATGTATCTGTCTGTCTGTCTATCTATCTATGTCTATTGACCATACTAATAAGCAACAATAAGTATTAAGTAAAATATGCAAAAATAATGTACAAATTATATCTGGGAAAGAAGACATTTTTGCATGGATATTGAATTTAGGTAAATAAAGTGGCCCTTTGTGTTTTCTAATGAAATGTAAGTAATTCCATCATGTAGTAATTATACAGCACCTGTAATACAGCACGTGTAACATCTCTCTCATTATATATGATGAATGCATTTGCTCCCAACACATAATAGATTTCTACTTTGTATTATTTAGTATTGGAGATACATTAATTCAGCCCAAGCACTATTGTGTTTCATTGGGTGTAGAAAGCTATTAAAGGAAAACTGTCATAAAGTTATATAGCTGAAAAGAGACATTCATCCATCAAGTTCAGCCTTTGTCATGTCAGACATCATTTTTATTATTATTGAGAATAAAAGGCTTCATGCATTGTAGTAGACATGTGCATTCAGTTTCAAACTAAATGCAATTAGTACGAATTCTGGCCAAATGGCGGGTTGTGCAAACTCAATAACTCCAAAGTTCCATATGGACATATCACGACACAACAGAAATGGACAATGGACAAACAATTTTGTTTGATACATGATTCTGATTTCAACACATGGCTACAAAATAAGAGATGATGGGTAAAAAATTATTGATGGCTAGGGGACAGCTGCTAAATGTAATTTTTTTTCACAATATACATACCACCATTAAGGCTTATCGAGAGCAGATAAATATCGCTATCAATAATATGAATTTTTTTTAAATATTAAAAATCAATATTATATTTATGAGTGAAAATATAGGTTTCTGCGATTCAATGGCATGTATCAATCGCTTACTGTCCCCCTACCCCTTCCCCTATCTTGATTTTGTATTTAGTTTGTTTTTATGCACTATTTATTTTAATTAAGTCCTTTAGAAAGTCTGCTATGGTGGATGAAATGCATAGGACCTACTCTACTATTATCAGTGCCCTTTTTTTCTTATATATATATGCACTTTATATCTGAATATTTTTTAAACAAGTATTCCTCCTGTAGATTTTCCTTCTTTAAACACCCTGTTTCATGATTTCCAATATCATTTCTATCCAATTGGGGTTCACCTGTATGTATGGGTTTTGCTGATCCAACTCCGCCCATGCGTCTGACGTCACGCGCTTCCATGGTAAAAGGAAGCCGTGGCCACTATCAGATCGCTCAATCAATTTGTTACCTAACTGTTGTCAAGTGCCGACGGAGCTCCTTCTCTTGTTAATCTGTGTACCTAACCTCTGATTCCTGATACCGACTTTGCTGACTTCCCATCTCTCAGACTCACAGCAGGCTTCACTACGTTTAAACCCGAATTTACTTCAGATAACTACAACCTTCGCTATTCTGGAAAGGACTTCCTTCTATAACATCTACAGCAATTAAGCTAAGTTCTCCAGTTTACTGGGATTATTAATTGGTTCTTAATTACAGTTAATTGTAAGGATAAAGGGAATTCTTAAGTCTGCCCTCTTGGATTCTGTATTACTACTAATATCAATAGCTGTTTTGAGAGTACCCTTCTCAGCTGATTAATGTTTACTAAGTTCATTTTCTCATATTGCTACTGGAGTCTAAAGGACTGTGTTATATTTTCCTAGCCAGTGTGATGATATGTCATTTTGTTTGTGCCATCTCTAATGTTAATTGTTTAACTGCACTGTTATACCTTAAATAGGTTATGTGTTGGTACACTTTAAATCTTGTCATGTAACCCGGAACAGGAAATAGGTCACAGGTTACAGTTCAGTTGTACAGGGTAGACTCAGAAAAAAAGAGATCCTGGTTAAGCTTCGAATCCTCTCTCAGTGTCTTATGTCAAAATAACACATAGTACAAATAACACATTGTTACAGAAAACAATGGCAAACAGCTGCGCCACAAAAAACACTCCTCCCCTGGATTTAGAATCTGGCAATGTATCAGAGAACTGGGCAAAATGGAGGGAGCTTATAGAACTGGTTTATGCAGGACCCAATGCAGCACATTGGACTGACCAACAAAAGGCAGCATGCTTTCTAACCAGTGTGGGCCAAACAGGTTGTGATGTATGCAGAGAATGGTGTGCAAGTTGTACACATAACTGAAGAGGACAAGAAAAAGACAGAGGTACTGTTTGCAAAGTTTGACGCATACTGTAATCCACACAAAAACACCACAGTGCAGAGGAAGCTGTCCTATGAGAAGAACCAAGGGGGCAGTGAATCAGTTGATGAATGGGGCACTAATAACACAAAGAATGAAATGTTGCCATGTTTTTATTGAACACACCATGTAAACATTCACAGTGCAGGTGGAAAACGTATGTGAACCTTTGGATTTAATAACTGGTTGAAGCTCCTTTGGCAGCAATAACTTCAATCAAACGTTTCCTGTAGTTGCAGATCAGACGTGCACAACGGTCAGGAGTAATTCTTGACCATTCCTCTTTACAGAACTGTTTCAGTTCAGCAATATTCTTGGGATGTCTGGTGTGAATCGCTTTCTTGAGGTCATGCCACAGCATCTCAGTCGGGTTGAGGTCAGGACTCTGACTGGGCCACTTTAGAAGGCGTATTTTCTTCTGTTTAAGCCATTCTGTTGTTGATTTACTTCTATGCTTTGGGTCATTGTCCTGTTGCAACACCCATCTTCTGTTGAGCTTCAGCTGGTAGACAGATGGCCTTAAGTTCTCCTGAAAATGTCTTGATAAACTTGGGAATTAATTTTTCCTTCGATGATAGCAATCCGTCCAGGCCCTGACGCAGCAAAGCAGCCCCAAACCATGATGCCCCCACCACCATACTTCACAGTTGGGATGAGGTTTTGATGTTGGTGTGCTGTGCCTTTTTTTCGCCACACATAGTGTTGTGTGTTTCTTCCAAACAACTCAACTTTGGTTTCATCTGTCCACAGAATATTTTGCCAGTACTGCTGTGGAACATCCAGGTTCTCTTGTGCAAACTGTAAACGTGCAGCAATGTTTTGTTTGGACAGCAGTGGCTTCCTCTGGTATCCTCCCATGGAATCCATACTTGTTTAGTGTTTTACGTATTGTAGATTCGCGAAAACAGGGATGTTAGCATTTGCCAGTGACTTTTGTAAGTCTTTGGCTGACACTCTAGGATTCTTCTTGACCTCATTGAGCAGTCTGTGCTGTGCTCTTGCAGTCATCTTTACAGGACGGCTACTCCTAGGGAGAGTAGCAGCAGTGCTGAACTTTCTCCATTTATAGACAATTTGTCTTACCATGGACTGATGAACAGCAAGGCTTTTGGAGATACTTTTATAACCCTTTCCAGCTTTATGCAAGTCAACAATTCTTAATCGTAGGTCTTCTGAGAGCTCTTTTATGTGAGGCATCATTCACATCAGGCAATACTTCTTGTGAAAAGCAAACCCAGAACTGGTGTGTTTTTTTTATAGGGCAGGGCAGCTGTAACCAACACCTCAAATCTCATCTCATTGATTGGACTCCAGTTGGCTGACATCTCACTCCAATTAGCTCTTGGAGATGTCATTAGTCTAGGGGTTAACATACTTTTTCCACCTGCACTGTGAATGTTTACATGGTGTGTTTAATAAAAACATGGCAACATTTCATTCTTTGTGTGTTATTAGTTTAAGCAGACTGTGATTGTCTATTGTTGTGACTTAGATGATGATCAGATCACATTTTATGACCAATTTGTGCAGAAATCCATATCTTTCCAAAGGATTCACATACTTTTTCTTGCAACTGTATACTATAGATGAAATGGACAATTCAGATGATGACACAAGCACCTCCTAGATATACCTTGCCTCTGTGTACAGGACTCTGCAGACGAGGCAGTGGTCACATTGGAACTAGGGGCTTCTCAAATACCTGTCAAGTTTAAAATTGATACAGGAGCACAGGATTGTATTGTATACCAGGCCACACATATTTCCTCTGTAATGAATGCCAGCTGGAAACACAAAGACTTGCTCTTCAAAGCAGGGTGAAGCAAGAGCTCTCAAGAATGGAGGAGCTGGGAGTGATCAAAAGAGTCACATAACCATCTGATTGGGTCAGCTCCATGGTGGTGGTAGAAAAGAAAAACACAGGAGCAATCAGAATATGCATCGCCCCACAGCAAGAGCCGCACGCGCATTCAGCCAGTCTCATAGGAAAGCATTCACAATGCTTTCCTATGGACACTGGCGTCTTCTCACTGTGATTTTCACAGTGAGAAGCGCGGAAGCGCCTCTAACGGCTGTCAATGAGACAGCCACTAGATGCTGGATTAACCCTAATATAAACATAGCAGTTTCTCTGAAACTGCTATGTTTATAGAAGAAAGGGTTAAACCTAGCTGGACCAGGCACCCAGACCACTTCATTGAGCTGAAGTGGTCTGGGTGCCTATAGTGGTCCTTTAATGGTGTTATACTATTGTTTGCATTTCATCAGCATTATGTTTACCTATTTTTGTGCATCTTGCTGTGTTGAGGACCACTACTAACAGGTTTCTGGGAAAGCTGCCACACGCTCCACTTGTTTTAAAAGTTAAGTGCTCTTAAAGGAAGAACACGTTTTTTTTTCTTTTATTTTGTGATTTTTTTCTGTATTGCTAGTAAAGTTAAATGGAATTGAGCTAAATATGTTTCCAGCAGGAGCACAGAACAAACTGCAAACTCGGTAGTATATATAATGTTAAGTAACCTGTCTTTTGAATGTCAGTTGGTCAATACAGTGTCTTGAAATTGCAAATGAGTGTATAAACAGACACAATGCTGGTTATTTTGAAGATTAGACCATAATGTCACATGGTAGCAATTTCAATTCTCAAGATGACTACATTACCAGAAATGAGAGGTTTCCCAATGGTGTTCCATTGGGCATACTGATAAAACCTGAATGACTTGGGACTTTTCACAAAAACTGATATGAGAACCACTACTACAAAGTGATACAACTTGCAGTAAAATTTAAAAGTCCAGTTTAACTTTCTGTCTTCATACAACTATAGTCTAGAGCAGGGGTAGGCAATCTTTTAGCAGTACTGTACAAATAGAAATTTTGAAGTCCCTTGACGTGCCGGGACTATTTTTTTCAATTAAGGTGTGTATGTTGCCGTATTCTGCTTGTGTTATTTGTAGGAGCTGCAGTTACTTTGTAGCATTGTATTTGTGCCTATGTGGGCTGTTATTGTATAGAATACATTCATGAGTAGTTTGTGGCATTGTGTATGGTTGTGTATGATACCTATGAAGGTGGGCTGCTTGTGGAATGGGTGCTGCTTGTGGAATTGTGTGTGGATGATATGTGTGTTTGTGCGTGTATGTGGATAGTGTTGTGTTTCTGAGGACTGTGTTTGTGTGTGGATGGTTTCTATTATTTGTATGAGTGGGAGGTTTATTCTGCAGCTCTGTGTTTATCTAACAGTGTGGGTGACTTCCCTTGGGCCCAGTAGGGAACAGGCTGGCCAAGTACAGGTCAAGGGCAGGAGCTGCAATAGCTGCTGCAGGTTGCTCTACTCCAGTGCGGGATTTCATTCACCAATGCTGTAATGCATAAATTCACCACCTGCAATTACCACTCAATTTGCAGGCTGTGCCTGTTTGGCTCTGGTAGCTTTGGGTGCCATACAAAGGAATCCCAAGTGCAATGTATGGCACACATGCCGTAGGTTGCTGACCCATGGTCTAGAGCAGGGGTAGGCAACCTAAGGCACTAGTGCCATGCACGGCACTCAAGGTGTCTTTGCACGGCACTCAAGGCTGCTAGCACAAAACAGGCTCTGTCCTATCAGGAGTCCCAGTAAAACATCAGATATCTGCTAATACGAAGAGGTGGTGAAGGACAATCCTCAATTTATGCATTGCAGCACATAGAGGAAGTGATCTCAGTGATCCACACTGCAGCAGAGAAGCCTGTAGCTGCTGTTGCAGCTCCTATACTTGAGCTATACCTGGCCGGCCTGGTCCCCACTGGAACCTAGGGAAGCCACCCACACTGCTAGATATACATAGAAATGCAGAATAACCCTCCCCTCACACAAATAATATGAACAGCCCACACACAAACATACACACCATCCCCACAAATGCAACACCACTAACAATCCACATACATGCACACAACCCCGCATGCAATACCCCAAACAGCCCCCACACACTACCAAACACACAATGTGACATATCCATCCACACACAATTCCACAAGCAGCCCTCATACACAGCCCACATTCATATGTATCATACACGATACCATAAACTACTCCTGAACATATACAGTATAATAGCTCATATACGCACAAATACAACGATACAAGGCAATTACAGTAAAAATAACACAAGCAGAATACGGCAGCATACACACCTCAATTTAAAAAAATGGGATCGGCACGCTACGGGACATCACAATCCTATATCGGCACAGTGCTGCTAAAAGGTTGCCTACCCCTTATCTAGAGTCTCCACACATTCTGTGCTCTGATGGTAATTTAATCTATCCAATCTTCTACTTGCTGGTTTCATGTAGACTGATCTATATGTCAGACACTTATAATTTTTATCTGTTTCCTCTGTTTCCTAAAAGTTCTCTGTGGGCTACTTGTGGGGGGCCACTTTTTTATCCTTTTGTCATGACAGAAAGCAATACTATTATCAGTGTGGTGATCTCATGCATGCATGTGTATATGTCTATACATATAATATATGCTTGTGCGAGTTATACTTAATTTATGGAGAGTATGATCTTGTTTGGTTAGTTGCCTTTTTCAAGTAGGGTGTGCGTATCCGTATCTTAATTATGAATAATAACTGTACAGCTAAGTAATTGAGTAATTGGAGCTATAGCTTTAGAAGCCAAGAATAACGCCCTGGCGATTGCTCCAGTAATCTGCAGAGCAAGTAATATGCTTAGAAGAATATTATACAGAATCATATAAATGACAGATTATCGATATGAATAACGTTTGAATTAAAACTAAGAGAAGAATCAATCACATCATTTTAAATATATATAAGATATGATGCTTAAAGATCACAATTCAGTTTGCACAAACATTGGTACTATAAAAAACCCAGCAGTGATTTTTAAGCATATCCCCTGATTTCTGGAGATGTCCTGTAAACCTCTCCCACCACTTGTATAATAAGAACAACATATTCTACTCACGACTTTTTCAAGTTTATTGGAACAAATTGATCATAATGGAGAAAAATTAGCTATATAAAGTAGAAGAATTCTGGTTAAATGTGGTCTGTCCTCACTATCATCCTTAGACACATGCTGCAGAGTTGATCATTCATTCAAACATATTCGTGCATATTAATTATAAATCAAATGGAATAAAAAGCTGAATTTATTTGAAAAACAGACCATTTTCATAATATTATAGCTCATCAGACCTTGCAAAAATGATTTGGAACATTTAATAATTATCTACTTTGTGTATAAGTTATTTTCAAATATGAAAGGATTGACATACCTATAGAAAAGAGAATGAGTTAATACTCCAGTCAAGTCAGTATTAATTGCTTTACAATTTTCATTCATTTTTTTCTTGCTTTAAATATAAGAATTTTTGAATTTTGTAGATTTTTACTGAGGATTCTAGAATGGGAAATAACATAAAGCAAGGATGGCAAATCATGATAACTTAACAGCTTCTAGAACAAAAGTACAAGTGTTTTTATATTCATGTGTTTTATAATATGTAATCTAGTCCGTAAAGCCTCACTCACTCTCAGTCATACTCTATTTATGATTATAAGCCTGTAGAGTAAGAAATTTCTCTGCCAGATGCCACAAGTTACCAGGGACAGATCCAGTACCTAATCTTGGGAGGGGCACTGGTAGACTATTTAAAGGAACACTCCAGGCACAATAACCACTACAGCCCTCTGTAGTTGTTATAGTGCCAGAAGTTCTGTGTCACCCTCCAAGGGCTGGTAGCCAAACCATTTAAGAACATTTTGATATGGGGTCTGCTGGGATAGTGCAGTAGTGGGAGTTAGGAGCTGTAGTGTTGATTAGGGGCAGTAGTGGGAGTTTAACTGCTGGAGTGGGGATGGGAAGCACTAGAAGGGCTGTAGTGGGATTT